GAATGAATGAAAGAATGAATGAATGAAAGAATGAATGAATGAATGAGTGAATGTGTATATGGTGGGATAATCTTTAGGGTTAGGGTTAGGAGAATAAGAATATATGGTTAGGGTTAGGGTTAGGGGAATATCGTTAGGGTTAGGGTTAGGGATATAAGTATATATCGTTAGAGTTAGGGTTAGGGGTATAAAAATATATCGTTAGGGTTAGGGTTAGGGATATAAGTATATATCGTTAGAGTTAGGGTTAGGGGTATAAAAATATATCGTTAGGGTTAGGGTTAGGAGAATAAGAATATATAGTAAGGCTTAGGGTTAAGGGGAATAAAAGGATATTGTTAGGGTTAGGGCAAGGATTAGTGTTAAAAAACAAAAAGCCCTATAGGCGTTTACTGGGTTGCCTATATCCTATGCACAGATACCTTGTTAGCATGTTAGTCAAAAGATAATGAATTGTCTACCAGAAAAGAAGGATTTCGTTTTACTTGTCTAAGACGATATTCTCAAAGTGTTCTCTACATAATATTAAGATATTTGGAAGGTTCTGTCCTTTTTTAGGCTATAAAATAAAAAATTTTACTTTATGCATGTCATTGTTCTTGTCAGCAAACTTTGCCTGGTAAGATAGGAAGTCATAGCTCTACTAATCATAGCTCTACTTTTCGCGGATCGATATTGCTTGAATGACTGATAGCGTCTGATAACGTCGAACGTATACAGGTTCATAAGCAACCGACTAGGAATAAATCTTTTTACACTTAAAAGATTGTCTTATTGTGGAAGATTTTTAAAAATCTAAAAAAGAAAAAAATGGATCAAAAAAAGAAAGATTTTATGTGAATAATATGGGATTCGAACCCACCAAAAGAAATTCAAAAACTCGATTCCACTGTGCCATACCCCCGATACATCCGCAGAGCTGAGGCGGCGTATGGACTTCGGACCTAACGGCTATTAAATCCTTCTGCCCTTGGGTGTACTTCAGGGAAGAGAAAGCATAATAAGATTTGTTCGAGTTTTGAGAGCGTGAGTAGGTATAATGTTTAGGTCACCCATCTAAGTGCTAACTCTCCTCGGGCGAGCTTGACTCAGCAGTATCTTGAACGACAACGATTTATCCACTGGACCACGGTTCCAGGTGAATCAGCATAACAATAGCCGTGAAAACAATACGGAATAGACTAGAATTTTAACAGTACTTTTTTCAACCGATTCCATGCGTGGCAGACATTAAAATACTGGTTAAAATAATCAAAAGCCATCGACAACTGTAACTTCTTTTATTATAAAATCAATACAGGGCCAGGCTTAAGGAAGGCTGAATAGCGCTATCCATGCACCAAAAAAATACTTAGTCAGCGGATAAAGCCTATTTAAATACTATACACTGGATAACTAAAGGGCCCTAACTCAAGATTGTCCAGTGGATAGTAACTTTATCCAGCTTTCGTACAACCGGGCCCAGATGGAAATGTGTCAAGTCAGTACAAAGTTCTATCAACTCAACCAATTGCCTAATAAACAAAACGAAATCGGGTTTTCCCCCTGAAATTGCATCTCCACTGAAGTGCATTATATTGTTTAAATACCGCGACTATTTTATTACTTTGTAGGTCGCAGTATGGGTTCAGAAACATCGAAACCGAGAGAAGACGGGAGATTATAAACCTGGCCGCTACCAACGAGCTAGTACCTCAGTTTAACAAGAGTCAATAAGCGTTTGCTATATAAAAAAAAAGACGTATCTTGTCTTTATATAATATAATTTGCAAAATGGATATTCATGGTCGATAGAAATCGATAAATCACTTAAATCGATAAAAATCGATAAAGAAAAAAGTGTGATGTCGATTTTTAACGATTGATCGATACCAATCGATATCAATCAGTCAGGTAAATCGATTGTTATCGATTTATCGATTAGAAAAATTGATACCGATTTTATACATTGACTAAATCGGGGGTTTTATAAAGCAAATGCGGGCGCAGTGCATTTTGGCTGCCGCTTTAAGGAAATTAGAAATACCAAAGAAAATTATAATTTAAGTTATAAATGAATCTTTTCCTGTATTCATGGCCATAGAAATGCCATACTTTGCGCTCCACTCTCGGTTTGTGTTCAATTTGTGAAGGCTTTAAATCAAGAACAAGCACGAAACAAATTAAATTATACTCTTTGTAGTTAAACACCTATTTTACAGAATGCCACTATATTTTTTTAAAGTTTTAAGCATCGATTTTATTTCAGACATAAATGTCTATGGAGAAGTAAAGTACGATTCTCTATAAGAAGAATTCATTTATCTGAAGTGAGCTTTTGAAGCATTTTAGTGGCTTCAAATAATTTATTCATCCAACTTGAGTTTGGAGCCGACTAGCTTGGCGAGCTTCAAGTTAAAACTGCCAAAACGCGTGTTTTCTTTCTGTAGATAGTTAGAAAATGGTCCAGAAAATTAGAATTTGGTACTCTAAAACTAGTTGATTATAAACTTGAGTAGTAAATTACGATTCTCTATGATAAAAAAATCCGAAATTATCTGCCAAAGCTGCCAAAAATTTAAATGTGTGTTTTCTTTCTCTAAAGGGCTACGTAATGCTCAGAAAATTGGTGTATTTTCTATAACCCTTTTTTTTAAATGAACTAGAGGGATAAATTACGATTTGTTTATGAGAAAAAAAGACTTATTTGAAAAGAGTTTAAAAACATTTTAGTGGCTTCGTCGTTACTCACTGAAATTTTTTTCTATCCATGAACATGAGCGTTATTTGGAGCCGACTTGGCGCTTGAGATTCATGTTAAAACTGTAAAAGCATGTGCTTTTCTTCAGTATAGGCCGACTTCCAAGTCAAAACGCGTGCTTTCTTTATGAAGATAGTTTAAAAATGGCTCAGAAAAGTATGGAGAAGTAAAGTACGATTCTCTATGAGAAAAAATTCATTTATCTGAAGTGAGCTGTTGAAGCATTTTATTGGCTTCAAATAATGTATTCATCCAACTTGAGTTTGGAGCCGACTTGGCGAGCTTCAAGTCAAAACTGCCAAAACGCGTGTTAACTTTCTGAAGATAGTTCAAAAATGGCCCAGAAAAGTATGATTATTTTTCATAAATCTAGTTGCTTATAAACTGGGGTAGTAAATTACGATTCTTCATGATAAAAAATTCCTTTCATCGATCTAAAGTAAACTCCCAGGAAACATCCAAGTCACTCAGAGATCCAAACATCCAGAGATCATTTATTTAGATATCCACAACAAAACGGGCATTTTCGACTTTATCCGAAAAGGTATACGTAATGGTTCAGAAAATTAGAATTTGATTTTCTAGAACAGTTTCTTATGAACTAGAGAAGTAAATTCCAATTTTCCAGGAGAAAAAAATACTTTTCTGAAAAGAGTTTTGAAACATTTTAGAGGCTTCCACGTCACTCACAGAGATAATTTATTCATTTAACATAATTTTGGAGCCGACTCGTCGAGCCTCAAGTTAAAACTGCCAAAACGCGTGTTTTCTATCCGTAGATATTTCGAAAATGGCCCACTGAAAAGTAGAATTTAATATTACAAAACAAATTGATTATAAACTTGAGTAGTAAATTAAGATTCTCTATGCTAAGAAAATAAATTTATCTGTTAAAACTGCCAAAAATTTAAATGTGTGTTTTCTTTCTCCAAAGTTAGTGTATTTTGTATAACCGTTTTTTAATGAACTAGAGGGGTAAATTACGATTTGTTTATGAGAAAAAAGACTTATTTGAAAAGGCGGTTTAGAAACACTTTAGTGACTTCGACGTCACTCGCTGAATTTTTTTTTATCCAACACGAGTTTTATTTGGAGCCGACTTGGTGCGTTGAGCTACCCACCGAAAACCCTTTCCCCTCTCCCCTAGCTAGGGTCCGAATACCTTTGTTTTCCACGGTATTCTCGCATTCACTTCCGATATTCTATTCTTTAAATTTGCTATGAAAATGTAAAATAAATACAATATATCAAACCTGAAATAGTTGACTAAAAGTGCATGACCCCCCCAAAATGTTTGCATAATTTCATGCAGCCACTCATTTTTGGTTGAACAAAAAGGTATGGCCCCCTTCCCATTTGCACCAGCCTACCCCCCCTCCCCCCCTCTAATAAATGACTGGTCCAAAGACTCAGGTTTAAAGTAAAATTACAATAAGGGATATGTTTTTTTGGAATAAAGATAAAGCAACAAAATAAATAATCTTTCTAATAAAATAGAAATCTTGCGTTGAGTATAATCGCGCAAGGTTTTATGGGCTTACAATACAGATATCCCATCAGCCCTTTCGGTTGTCACGCGTCGAACAAGAAAAACATGGCGAATGTGGGTTTTGTTAAGAGAAGAAAATAGCTATTTTGACGGTAAGAAACGTTCAGATTCTTAAAACAACCCTTCAAATATCGAAATTAATTATATTCGCTGCTTTATAGGCGCCTTTTCCTGATATTTGTTGTCTTTTCGTTGCGTTGACGAATATTTTTTGAGGCACGTGTGACTTCGCTTGTCGTTGCAGTAAAAGCTTGTTTTCAAACATGCATTTTGTGTTCGTAGGAAGGCTTTTTTAATCGTCGAACAGGCCTAAAGATGTGAATTAATGCTTTTTTGAATATGTTTGTTCAATTTTCTATTTCTTTAAAAGTATTTCCGACTTTATAATATTTTCTTCGTACATTGAAGAGGTAGACTTACCTACCCCTCCCTAGAGAACATAAAACCAATACCGAAATTATTACGTTTTGACTTATTATATATGTTTTTGGGAGTTTTTTTTGTGACAATAGTTTTGATTTTGTGACAATATTTTTCATTTTTCATTATAAAATAGATTTTCATGAGCGAGAAACAAGACCATTTTTCAATTGATGGGTTGCAAGCATTCCCAAGAGAGTTAAAAGACAAAAGCGTGGCGGCCATTGTGGTGCCGTTAACAATGGATGCTAATAAGAAATCTTTTGTTTAATGGCACCAACGCTCCCTCGAGAGCCCGCCATGACGTAACGTGCAATCGAAGAATACAAAATAAAACGAAGAAATTAGGTATATTAGAAAGATATTTCTGTTAGGGATTATTAATGATCAAAAATCAAAAAGTAGCACTTATATTTAAATATTTATTTTTGTTGAACATTACATCTATCCTTTTAAAAAAGAAAAAAAAAATGTCATTATGAAGCAAATTTGATTGGTTTCGTGATATTTTGAGGGGTACAGTTTTCTTTCCTTTGTGCTGTGACTATAACAATGGCCTGATTTACTAAACTAGCACCTTTTTCCTTACCTACGATGGCGTCCATATTAATTTAGGGCCTGTTCAACTTACACTTTGGCATCCTTTTGATAATTTCTGGAAAAGAAAATTATCAAAGGATGCTGACACGTGAAGAAAGGGATACAAAACTAAAAAGTTTGATGTTTGTGTGCAGAATCATAGTTGTTTGGAGGTGTGACTGTGGCATTTTTTTGATCTCGGTTCAGCAGTTCCCTGACATCCGTAGTATATAAATTATAGTCCAGAACTGAGATATTAATACCTCAAGGCTAGACTATAGATTGCAGAGTGCAATCAGAAGGTAAAATGCAAGCAACTGGCTTGTCGCTGACATATGAAAATTAAATTTGTGCTTTTAAGGAACTGCCAAGCCAACGAGCTGATAAAAATAAACTATTTAAGTCCCTAAGCTGAGCAACAAGCCACAGAGCCACTGGAAATAAATACTTCAAACAAATTATAAATACTTAATGATGTTTTTCTTCAATTAAATTTCAGGCGAGGAACAATATTTGATAAAGATTATGATTGACTTACCCTGCTCCCTCAGTCCTCAGTCTCCCTCAATAACTGTATTTGCTGGTATGTTATATGTATTACTCTTGCACATGAAAATAGAACATTCTTGAGCAAAACAGTACTATCTGCTGTGGGAGTTTTCATTAGTGAGTGCTGCTCATCAAAACTGAAACATTTTGGATCTAAACATTTGAAATATGCTTGATTTTCTCTGAATGCAATCAATTTTGTTTGTTTACAAAATACTTACAATTTATAGTGATGCATGGAAACACAAAATAGCACTTTGATGACACCTCTCATGCTTAATTAAGTATGTGTTAAGACAACCTGAACAGGAGAGTTATTATCTTTTTACGTTGAACTTAATAGTTTGCTTTAAAGTCGACAAGTTATGAAAGTTTTTGGCAAGGAAATATTTTTATTCAAAGTACATACACTTACATGTAGCCTGTGGCCATCATATACTGTAAGCATTGTTTGTTTGGTTATGAGAACATAGAGACAGTGGGCAACCATGGGTTGTGGCAGTTAATGGATTACTTTTAGAGCCCCCCCTTTATATGTTGCTGTTGTCTTTGTTTTGTATTGCTCCCTGGAAGATGGCTGCCATATCGTCAAAGCAGTCCATCGAGCACGAAGAAGGGTTTGAGAGTAAAGTGTAAGAATATATGAGAGATGAGGCGGTACGTCTTGTGGAATGGGCTCGGAAATCATAGGAGAACATGCGTAATAGATAAATTACATGCCCTGTATGAAACAAAACGGCTGTTCTTGGTTTCTAGTTAATTTTTTACGTGACTTGAAGTTGTGAAAGGCCCATTGACCCTCTTCTTCGGTCGTTTCGTACAAGGCTCGTAATTTACCTATTACGCATATTGTTCTTGTAAGAATATAATGAACAATGGAAAGCGATTGGGTGATTAAAGTGTAAGAATTTAATTAAGTATAAAAGCAATGGTGTGTTAAAGTGTAAGAATATAATTAAGTCAGAAAGCAATGGGGGTAGGGTGGTGCAGTGAAAACGACATGCAGGGCAGTGTCGATTGAAATGAAAGAATATAATGAAGTCAGAAAGCATGGGGGTGTGGTTGTGGCAGGAAATGGAACATATTTTTTTGGATTGTGGGATTAGCAGAATTGTGGGCTCATAACCAGGTGTACCTATAACTAGAAGGATATTTCAATTATTAGACTTTCAAGCACACAAGGAGTGCAATCAACTCTGGTTCTTCGTTCGGGTACGCAAGGAGTGCAAACACAAATTCCATATTTGCACTCCTTATATTTACTGAAGGATAAATTGCAAAATGAAATGCATATGGCACTTTTGTTACTTCTCAGTCTCGTTGTCGATCTATAGTTTAGCTCTAACTCTGGCTCGTCGTTTGAGTACACAAGGAGTGCAAACAAAATTTAATTCTATATTTGAACTTCTTTCAGTATGAGCATGGATTTTACCTGCAATACTTTCAAACATTTCCCCCAATTTCTGAATTTTTGGCAAATAATACACCTTATGGAATGATAATGAAAGTTAATGTTCTTTAATTCTTATATGCAATAGTATAGAGATATCCAAGTCCCTGTTAGATTACTGTAAGTTTATTTTTCTTATGTTACGGCATATTGTGATAACAATATTGGGCTAATACTAGGACGCTCACATTAATTCAACAAATTTATACAATATATATTGTTTGGATCGGCTTTATTCTATAAATGACTTATTTTTTCTTCTTGATAGCATATTGCTTACAGCTTTTTAGGGGATGGTATTAATAGGCTCACTTAAAGAATCCTCACCAAAAAAATGTTTATGTGGTGTAATTGTTTTTCTTGAAAAAGTCTCTGTTAGAACCTTTAACTGTTATCCTCATCCAAAAACAACCTCTTGGCTGATCAAAGTCATTGCACAGATAGAATTGGAATTTAGCTGTTCTAAGGTGTTAAAGAAAGATGAATACTGAAGAACCCGGAGAAAAACAGTACAGTGTGGTTTCACTGTGTGGAACTTGCTTTTTGATTTCCCCATAGTAAAGAACCTATTATGTGAGGTTTAGCTTCTTTAATTGTTTGGATGACCAAAATATTTTTATTTTCAAATCTGTTTTTGTGGGGGAATGAGTGGTGTATGCTGCTAATGCATTGCCTTTCAAAATTGTGAGACCAATGGGTTGGGTCACTGGTTCGAGCCCTGTGGGCGCCACATGTGAATTTAGTTTGTTTGATGTAATGTTTTCTCCTGTACTACAAGAGTTTTTCTCCGGGTTCTCCAATTTTCCTCCCTACATCAAAATCAACATTCGTGTTGAGTTGTGTGTATGGAATATTTGAAGGAGTGTGTATAGAGAATACACGGCCCCACATCTTCTTTCTTTAAAGCCTACCGTGAATAAATAGTAATATTTATTTATTTATTTAAATTTACTATTGTGAGGCTTAAAACAATAGCATTTTCAGTTATTTTTAACAATGTTGATTTAGAAACCAGGTATGACTAATCTGAATGTAATTTGGCTATTTTTGTTCTTGCTGCCAACTGGCTGTTATTTTAAGCCATGTAATTTTAAGCCATGCAAAAAGTGAAGGACACCATGAGAAAAACCCTTTAATCAATCAACCAATCAGCAATCTTTATACACATGCAATTTTGAGTCCAGGAATTCAACCTGTGATCCCAGAGGTGAGTGTACTACTGCTATGTTACCTTTGATTCCCCTGTTCTGCAGTAACAGGTTACTACATACAGCTCATTCGAAAACATCTTCAGTATTATTTGATATTTGGATATAGCAGGATTTACCTGTTTTCTCATTATCGAATAACATTGGCTTCTACCTATTCCCAGTAATTAAATATCAGCCAATCAATATCTTGAGCATTTGGTAGTTCCAAAAAATATCCATTCTCCTACCACAGGTGGAATTTTGGAAATCTGAAGGAGAAGGGGGAGTTGTTTGATCTGAAATTTTAAATTAGAGGGGGAGCATCTTGGTCTTGAATTTTCAAAGGGGAGGGGGGGGGGAGAATTACTTTTGAAATATGAAATGTGAAAAAAGTGGATAAACAACCTCATCTTTGTAGTTTTGGTGGCATCGTACTCTTTCAATCACATCTTAGCCACAATTGAATAAACACAACAAGCTAAGAACTCATTCATTGCTATATGGTTCAAGATCCATTCCAAAACTTTTACAGTATAGTTAAATAAAATAACAAATCATAAATTTTAGCTGCCTTGAAAGACCTTTTAAACTCAAATAATTTGGAATCTGCATGTTTGGCAAGTTTTGATAAAGCCTGCTGCAACTTTGTTGCTCATGACAATTCTTCATGCTTTGCCTGAGCCAAGGCCAGTGCTGTCTTTAGCTGTTCAACCAAAGGGTCGTCTTATGGAGGATCTTCCACCATGATAGCTTCTAGTAATTCATTCTTGTTGGCAATTTCATTATCAAGAACATGCAACAAGCTGCTGCATAATCAACCCTTCTTTCCTAACCAGATTTCAGTCGGAAGGCATAATAAAATAGCATGTATAATAGCATAAAACACATCTAAAAACTAGCTAGAATGCTTTAACGTTGACACCCTCGACACAATATGGATATTTTCTGGACTAACCATTAGTATTGCTTTCTTTAATCAAGTTTTTAAAACATCTTGCTCCCAGTAGTAATATAAGAAATAATATCTTGTGCCCAATAAAAATATTTCTATAAAAATAGCAGTTGCAGATGTCAATAAAGGTGTCTGTATGTTCAAAGGCCCTTAATTATCTTGTTTTGTACTTTTTTGGAGACTTCACCTACAGTGAACAACAGTCAAGAGGCACATGGGAAATGTTACAGATAAGCCAAAGTAATAGAGTAAAAACATTATTATATACAACACAAAATAATAGCACTCATTTCAAAAAAAATTGAAACCTTTTTGCTTGCATTTTATCACTGGCTCTACTTTGTACATCTTGTTGAGAGCACTCTTGTGTTATTAGCCATTCAAAGCTTGATGAAAAAACTTGGGAAAATTGGCATTGCAGTGCATTGTGGAGCAGATTTAGGGGACATATGAAGGGGGGCATGGTATAGCACGGTTTGCACCAAGAATACTACCAGACTACATTACAAGATATTTGAATCCAAAACTATCGAGGTTTACTATAGATATTGGAATAATATTATGTTTTCGTTACAGTCTT